TTTTTATTGTGTGCACAAAAAATTGTTATGTATTTTTGTTTATTTTTTTTTTTTTTTTTTTTTTTTTTAGCCAGCTACGTGCAATCGGGTCAAGGGCAATGTTAAGGGGGGGAAACAAAAATGTTGGCGGAAAATAAAAGTGGAATAAAATACATAATTGTGACTGTGGCACGTCAGTTGATTGATAATTTACATAGTTTTGTAAAGCTGTACCCATTAAAATTGCATGGAAAGGGGTATGTTCGGCTGTTAGGCAGGCAAAACGATCAAATCTAGATTCTAGATTCGCGATGGTCAAAGAATATTTAATACAAATAGATTGTATTTGGCATGAAAGTCCATATTAGCTGAGAGTTAATAAGAGCTAAAGAGTTAAAAATCAATATAGAAGTTGCCCGAAATCGATAAATATCGATTGCTAGCTGCGACTCTTTCGCATAGCATATTCAAAGCTGTCCAGCTGCGTATAGGGCATCTGCCAGTCAAGCACGCCCGGTCAGCAATACGCGCGCAACTATTGCCCAAGGCGAAAGTGAACTTGAATTTGGTTAAAAAAAAAAAACTTCAGATATAAATTCCATTCATGCAACACTGCCTATACGATTTGTGTATGGAACCAACCAAACAGTTGATAGTTTATGGCCAAGTTACTTTGGCATTATAAAACGATAAACATTGTCGCGCTGGGCTTATCTTAATCTTATCGTGGTCACATACCATATCCATAAATGATTTTATTAAGCAGCCCGCTAAGCGGCGCAATGATCCATTCAGCAAATATTTGAAGCATATCGTAAATGTCAAGCGGAGTGTAAGCCGTAAGCCTTTGTCCAAACACATATTTCTTTACTCATATATATATATATGTATATATATTTATATAGTGGTCCATAAAACTGCCTAATTGCAAAATTACGACAGGTGCAAAGGCGATAAGTTGCGAGTGCTTCGATAAAATGCTTAAACAGCAATTCTAGCTAAAATACAATTTCTCTAAGATAGCACAAAAAGCGAGCTACCCCTCTCCCTCTCTCTCTCTCTCTTCGTCTCACTCTCTGTTTCTCCAGTTGGTCCAGAACTTAGGGAAAAGGAATTTCCAATCGCGCTTACATTTCAGCGAGCATTTTAAGTACATGTTACTTTTAATGACTAAAAGGGCTAAATTTTCATGTGATTGATAGCGCAATACCCTGTAAAAGTTGTAACTAATCTAGAAAACCTTAGCTATGTTTAAACTTTTTATGCCTCATATTCGATAAACTTACAGTAATATTTTTTAAGAGATATTTAACAGACTGAAGAAACTGAGCGTTACCTAAGCCTAAGATGCACAAGTTTGTGTTAATTATACACCTGGCTATACTGAGTCCGTCCGCTCAAGCGAGCTTTCACTGTAATCAATATAGAATATGAGATATGCCATAACTTACTATATAAATCGAAACAGTTTCCAGACTGTACAAAACTACATTTATCGAATGCAACAGCTGAAGGTTCGGCTCGAGCGAGACTTGCCGTTTCAGTCCTATATAACAGGGTATTCAATGGCAAAACGGCTGTGATTGACTTGTGATACGTACTTGTACCGTTCACACAAAATTTATGATTGCAAAATTCTGTTTGTTTTTCCTACATACATCTGCGTATTATTATTATTGTTGCTAGCATTGTTTTTGGTACACACGATATGGTACTATTTGCAGATAGTGTCAAGAAGGAATCGGGTTTACAATTGGGACCATGTTAGTTGACGCTAAATGGCGTAATGAAAAACCTGTTAATAGTTTTAATTATGATTGTGTCAACAGATCTTTGATGAGTGTTCGAACAAAATTCATTTAATTTCTAATCTTAACCACAATTACAGTTAAACAATGTCGAATTCGAAAAGTCTCATGATTATAATTCATTTAACTTGTTTTTTTCTTTCTTATGATTTTTAGTTTCTTAACAAAATTTTCACAACTGTTTCATTTGGCTTCGATCGCATAAATTCGAGAACCTTATTCGATTAACCAAAAAAAAAAATATATATATATATATATATATATATATATAGCACTCACCTCATTTTGTGCGATTCCTTACGTTTCAACTGAGCTACTCGCAAATTAAGCACTAACTATCACGTTTGAGCATTGACCGAATTCGCATCAAAAATAAATAAGTTTAAAAAAAAAAAACAAACAACGGCAAACAAAAAAAAAAACAACAACAACTGCAATTCACATGCAAATTATGTTCAATACTTGAAACGAATGTCGCGTTGCAGGAGCCGCTCAGAAAGGCGCGAATTCTCTCAGTTGCTGTTGGAAGCCGGAGCCGGAGCCGATCTGGTAACTGAGCACCTGTCGCGTTAAACTTCGACTGATGTGTTGGGACATCGCGAGGTGCCGCATTACAGCTTTGTTTCAGTTCCATTCGATTCGATTCTGTATTTTATTTTGTTTTTCTTTCTTCTTTTTTTTTTTTTTGCTATTATGTATATGCACTTTTTTTTAACTAACTAACTGTTCTTTATCGAAAGAGTCAGCGAAACTCACACAGCCGACACACACACGCACACACACACACACAGACACAGACACGATCGGGCGCAGAGAGCCGCTCATGGCGTTACGCTCACTATTTTTAAAATTAGTCGCGGTGTGAGCTTGCGGAAAAAAACGAAAATGAAACTAGCAAAAGCGATGATAATAACACACAGCTATACGTGTGTGTGTGTGTGTGTGTATGTATGTGTATGGATATGCATGCACGTATATAATCTATGTATGTATTTGTATATACTGATCTAATGCTTAAGCTGCGTTTAGGGCAGAGTTAGCAGCCGGCCGGGTTGTACTCTACACACACACACACACGCACATGTACATATATTGTATTTTTGCATATGTATACGCAGTTCTGCTCAAGCTTAACTTAAGCTTAATGCACAGCTGGTTCTCTGCTTCTGTTTCTTTTCGAAAACAGCTGAGCTGGCAGCTGGCAGCTGCATTGTCTTTATGCTTAAATGCTGGCGCCTGCTGATAACGGTACGCACGCACACGCACACATACACAAGAGTTTCTCACTAAAATTTGCCTTTAATTTGTTGCGCATGCAAAATGCAAAATATGATTTGTATATGCAAGGCAAACTGTTCACTTAAACGCCAACTATTTCAAAGTACTCCAATTGCAAAGCGAACGTCTTTTTGTGTTTGGTTTTGTTGTGTTTGCAGCAGCTTATTTGTGTGTAATATTGTATTGTATTGTATTGTGTTTTGTTGTAGTTTGTTTTTTTGTTTTTTTGTTGGTTTTTTTTTTTCGATCGCATCAGCGCCAACGTCCCATGGGCCCAGCCACCTTGACAGTGTACTTGGTGGTGCGCCGCTTGGCCTTCATCTGCTGCTCCTGTTCGATCATCTTAATGGCAGCCGGTCCAAGTGCCACATACGGCATATTGGGATCGGGCACTGTGTGCAGCGGCAAGCCGTTATGCGCACCCTTTGCCATCCGTTGAAAGTTGGGCAACGGCGCGTTCTTTTTCTCGTGCGCCAGATCCGTATAGCCCAGCTTGCGTCGCTGCTGGGGCGTGATCTTGTTGCAATGGCACAGCTGATGGATGCGCAGGGCCCGCTCCAAATCGAAGGTCCGATCACAGAATTTGCACTGTTTCCCAGCCGGTACGGCCGCCAGGGCCGTGCTGCTCTCACGCAAACGACGGCCACGGAAGCGCACCAGAAAATCATCGTCGTGGGTGCGACGATGCGCGCCAAGCAGCGACTTGATGTGAAAGATGGCGCCGCACGAGCTGCAACTGTAGGTGGGCTTATTGATGTGCTTGATGCTCAGCTGGCTGCGTCGATGCGAATGGCCCAGATGCTGTTCGTATTCCTCCTGCATGGCGCCGCGCATGGTGCGCGACAATTTCACCTCATCATCATCCTCCTCCTCCTCGATGAGGTCGCGCGGCGACAGCCCGTTGCGGCGTGGCGACTGTAAAAAACCTGCAGCACCCTTTAGCATATTCATTTGCTGCCTTTCTAGCTGCTACTCACTGTGTACGGTGTCGCTCTTTTGGGGCGCCGCATTGGACGATGTGTCGTCCTTTATTTTCGATTGCGATGACTTTTTGTTGCCATGCTTGCGCCGATGATGGTGCCCGCCGCCGCTGCCGCCCTCGCTGGAGCGCTGGCCGCGTCGTCTGATGGCGCGCGAATTGGACGTAACATGGTTGGATTCGGATAAATAGTTTAGTTTGCGTTCCACAGCTTTGTGTGCGTTCTCCATGTCCGATTCCAGTTGATCGTATGTCTGTATTTTTATGTTGCGCTGATATTGCGCGGCTTTGTTGTGTTTCATTTTTGTGGTTGTGATTTGGTTGTAAATGTTTATTGTTGTTGTTGTTGTTGGTAGTATTTATGTGCTGAACTTTGTGGCCGGCAAAGTTCATCAAATGTTATGGTAAAATTTCTTAAAAATTGCTCTGTATTTACTTCACTTCCCCAAGTGTAAAATATAAACTGAAGGTAGACAATACGAAACAAAATGCAACGCATGTTGAAATTGATTTTAAAATTTTTTTAAACATTATTAGTGTTTAACAATGCCCCCACAAAAGGTTTTGGTACGTCTGTTAGAGTACAGATGGCGCTGATGTCAGTATTTTCTTATTGAGTATTTTTTTTTTTTTTGTATGCAATTAGCAAACGCACTCGCATACGAAATTAATTCAATTGCCAATATTGTTGTTCATATTAACTGGTAACTTTGATAACTTTTAAATTGCAATAATCAAATTTTAGTTAAACGAAAAATTACATATTTTGTTACGTTTTCTTGGTTTTCTTCACGTTACGTTGCTCTTTTTGCGCATACTTTGCTCTTTACTGCGTTAACGCACTCTGGTTATTTACGTGCCTGTTACTTACGGCTGGCCGCGTGCATTATTTTTGGCAGCCAACAATAAAGTAATTGCAGCCCGCGCGAAGTTACCAAAAATCTTGCGATTACATATTTTTTTGCCACGACACAGTGCAAATTCGCAATTAAACCAATTTTTGTGTAGTGTCGTACTGTTGTGAATCGTTGGTGCTGTGGCATTTGGAATATGAGTGATACGCGTGAACAGATTTTGGAACAAATTAAAGAACAAGGCGAACTCGTGCGTCAACTGAAAGCGTCGAAGGAGTCCAAAGAGAAGGTCAGTACGAAATACATACATATTAAATGCATTTTTATATATATGCAATTCATATATCTATATGTATATATGTATTTATATATATATATATATGTATGCATGCATGGAAACAAAAGCATTTTCAGTGTGCACATTCATATACACATTGTTAAGCCATTCGTGCGTACGTACATATGTAATTATGTATGTGTGTTTGAGTGTGCCGCGCTTGCCATGCTATTTTAACCCCATGTATATACATATGTATATGTATGTATATATAAATTCATCTGAATCCTGTTGCACTTCTATCGAATTACTTGGACGTAACGATAATTACGTATTTCATCAGCCGCACATGCATGCGTACATATGTACGCAACATGACACATTCGCTTTCTCCCCCTACCTCTTCTCCTTCCGCTCGTGCTGCGTTGGCAGCTTCTCATTATTGAATTTCAGCTCTGTAATTAGATTGTGCATGTACATAACAGTGAGCTTAATCCACAGTGGCAACAACAACACAGAACTTTCACATTCGCATTCGTGCTGTTATTGTTGTATCTGTACTCTTGTGTTGTTGTTGCTGTGCAGTGTGGCCAACTTAAGAGGTGGGGGAAAGGGGACATGAAAAAGCTACATTGAATTGTTCAACTGGAAAAACATACGATTATGAGTTTTATCCATTTCAGATATCTCATACGAAAATCTCTTTATTTACCTACCTATTGATAATGCAAATTAATTTGCAATATTTCGTTTCTCATATTTGCTTGAAGACTGCCTTAACTTGGAAATACGATTAAGCAGCAAAATCTTTATCAACTTTTCCAATTCATAAAAAAATTTATCATATGCACACAATTTAAGGCATGATATAACAAATAATTCTGCATAATGCACTTACAAATCGCGTTGTTTTTTGACGTATGACCGTATTCAAGCAGCCGAAGCGATATGTTCGATCTGTAAATAAAACATATAGTTACGATATATCCGAGTAGAGGTATGTAATGTATAAGCACGTGCCTGCCTCTCTTGGCAGAAAATAGTCCGCCAAATAATTCAATACTGTTCATGACTGACCAATTAGATACCCTATATAAGAACTGAAAGTTCACTACTTTAAGTTTTGCCCTGCATTTTTGTTTTTTAAATTAACCCAGTAAAAAAAAAAAAAAAATGTTTGCACTTTTCAAAAAACGCCAAATTAGACAAAAAACAAGAGATATTGGCAACACTGTCCAAATTGAATTGCAATGCCTGGTCTCTCAGTCAGTCAGTCGGACTGACTGGCAGCCTTCAAGTAAACCACAGCGAGCTTTTTAACTGTTAACTACCCCCTCCCCCACCCCAATCTGTCATCCCTTCCTCTCGCTGTACAACTCAAAACTTGGTTGGTTTTGCCCCCTTTTTTTTTGTTGTTGTTTCTAAATGCTGAATGTTACTGTTATAGTTGTTGTTGTTGTTGTTGTTGTTGCTGTTGTGATATTTTGTGCTCATGACCGAGTGACTGGCTAAGCGAAGTGTTGCTGAAACCGGCTTGGCAACAACTGACGCTGCCTCCTCCACTTGTCTGTATGTATGTGTGTGTGCGTGTGTGTGCGCGTGTGTGCGTAAGCAGCATGTCAGGGTAATTGTATGCCGTTAATTGCTATTTTATGCGTTCATTGCATTCAAGAGCACGGGCATCAGCTGTTGCTTCGCAGTCGTAAAACCTTGATAACATATCGATATATCGATACTCAAAAACGAATTATAATGTAAGATATATCTGGCATGATTGTTATAATTATAGCAAACTTTTGCTAGGATCATATTTGATGGGTATAAAAAGAAAAAAATGGAAAGGTGATTAAAAAAAAAGCGAAAATTCTCCAATTGCTATTTATTTATTTTTTTTTTAATCATTTTTGGTCGAAATGAATCGTTTTGTGAAATGTCCTTGAAATTGTTGAGGCGTAGCAGAAGCGTCGCGGCGTCGCTATTGCGGTGTTTCAGTTTCGAGTTTCGATTTCGAATTTCAAGTGTACTAAAGTGTCAAGTGTGTAACTGTGAGAACATCCTTTATGCCCAATTGCAATGAAACGGAGAACAGGGCATGGCTAGCGGTCAATGGAACGCAATGATTTTGTATGGCATTGAAAATTGTATATCAAAAACCTTTTTATTTTCCTTTCCGGCACACACACAACTAACACACACACACACACGCATTAATTTCTGCACATTTAACAGTTTTACATAATTTCAAAATCGCGGAGTTGAAAAAAGAATACATCTAAATATGTTAACAAAAAAAAAAAAAAAATAGAAAAACAACTCTAATCGGTGTTTTGTTTTTTTCATTGTTGTTGTTGTTTATTAGGTTTGATAAGAGCTAATGCAAGCAATTTGTTGCTATATTTGAAAGCACTTAGTAAAAAGCGAGAATCAAAAAAAATTGAAAGTAAAAGTCAAAAACAAAATGTTGCGTTCAATTGGCCGCCAGTGGCGCTGTAGTGTTGCGTTTCAGTGCCCTTGCCTTAGCCCTGCCCGCCAGCAGCTGCCGCTGGCGCCATCTAGCGAGGGGCGCGCGATGTCAACAAGCGTTGGACAACAATTGAAAGCACAACAACAGCAACAATTACAAGAACAGCAACAACAACAACAACAACAAATGCATAAGGTTAGCATCTAAGTGCACTATACAAACCGCCTGGATACTTAAACGCATATCATTTTTCTATATTTTGATCCACTGCAGATCGATGAGGAGGTGTCCCGCCTGCTGGCCCTAAAGGCCAAACTTGGCGGCGATGCGGCGCCCGCCAATCAAAAGTTCACCCTGAAAACACCGAAAGGCACGCGCGACTATGCCCCGCAGCAGATGACGTTGCGCCAGGGTGTGCTGGACAAGATTGTGCAGGTGTTCAAGCGGCACGGCGGCGAGGCCATCGATACGCCCGTCTTTGAGCTGAAGGTGACAATAACGACTCTGTTCCATTACAGTCTGTTTCTTAAATCATAATTAAAACTGTGTTTATTTTTTGTTTTTTAACTGCTGGCAGGAGGTATTAACGGGCAAATATGGCGAGGACTCGAAACTCATTTACGATCTGAAAGATCAGGGCGGCGAGATCTTATCAATGCGCTATGACCTGACCGTGCCATTGGCACGCTATCTGGCCATGAACAAAATATCCAGCATTAAGCGCTATCACATTGCCAAGGTCTATCGGCGTGATAATCCCGCCATGACCCGCGGTCGCTATCGCGAATTCTATCAATGTGATTTTGATATTGCCGGCACCTATGATCCGATGCTGGCGGATGCCGAGTGCGTCAAGATTGTTGCCGAAGTGCTTGATACTTTGGATATTGGCGACTATGTGATCAAGCTGAATCATCGCCAGCTACTCGATGGCATGTTTGAGGCGTGCGGTGTGCCTCCAAATAACTTCCGTGCCATCTGCTCGGCGGTCGACAAGTTGGACAAGGTGAACTCGAATGCATAAAGCCGAATGTGCAGATGTTTCAAAAAACAATATTTATTGCTCCATTGCAGTCACCCTGGGCGGAAGTGCGCAAGGAAATGGTGGAGGAGAAGGGCCTGGATGGCGCCACTGCCGACAGAATTGGCGAGTATGTGCGTCTCAGCGGTGGCGCCGAGCTTGTCGAGCAACTGCTGGCCGATCCAAAACTGAAGGCGGTGCCCAATGCCGTCAAGGGGCTCGAGGGCATGCAGCTCCTGTTGAAATACTGCTCGCTCTTTGGACTGGAACAACGCGTCAGCTTTGATTTGAGTCTGGCGCGTGGCCTCGACTATTACACGGGTGTCATCTACGAGGGTGTGCTCAAGGCGGAGCCTGGCTCCACAGGCTCACCCGTTAAGACGCTGCAAAACGGTGATCAGGCGCCCGAGCAGGGCGGCACCGTTGGCTCCGTGGCAGGTGGCGGCCGGTATGACAATCTGGTTGGCATGTTTGATCCGCGCGGCAAGGCTGTGCCCTGTGTCGGCGTCTCGATCGGGGTGGAGCGCATCTTCTCTGTGCTCGAAGCCAAATTTGCCGCCAGCAAAGTTAAGTTGCGCACCAACGATGTTGAGGTGTATGTGGCATCTGCCCACAAGGGCTTGCACGAGCAACGACTGCGCGTGCTCAATCAGCTATGGGATGCGGGCATTAAGGTGAGTACGCTGTCAATTATTTGACTATGCCGAATTATTAACCACAATACATTAATTGCACAGGCGGAGCACTCATACAAGGTGAATCCCAAGCTGTTGGTCCAGTTGCAGCACTGCGAGGAGCACCAAATACCATTGGCCATCGTTCTGGGCGATGCCGAGCTGGCTCAGGGCATTGTCAAGCTGCGCGAGGTACGCACGCGGCAGGAGTCCAATGTTACCCTGGCAGAACTGCCAGCAGAGATTCGTCGCCGCCTGCAGGAGTAGCTACTAACGTTCAACGGCTATGGCCAATCCTCGCAACGTTTCGATATTACAACTATGCTGATGCTTTTTTTTTTTTTTTGTTTTTTTTTCTTTGTTCTGCCTAATTTATCAATGCATTCACTGTGTTTTTTTTTTATTTAACGTTTTGTATTAGCTCCCGTCTGCTGCGCCGTCGACCGGACACATCCAAGTGCTACTATATTATATGAACCTACCCTTTAGTTGTAGGAATAAGTTATAGCAAATGTATACCAAAACTGGAGACTACAAATAAACTGCAAACGCATTCGCATTTAAACAAAAGACAAACATATTTATAAAAAGAAAAAAACAAAAAACTAAATGCGTTAAGTTTTTGCTCTAACCTGTTGCTGTACTTTGTGATTAAAGGGATATTCACTTATATATAAACCATATAGATCAGTTATCTTCGGAGTGCCGAGGATTAAATACCTTTAAATCTTCTTTATTTGTTTATACTTATAGAGGCTAACCTCGGTGCACCGAGTTATAAAAACTGAGGGTAACTTAAAAAACATAAGGATTTATATAATCGATCCTAGCTCTGTGATATATAAGTTCCATGTGAATAAGATCATGGCAAAATTCATATAGGCTAAGTTTGGTTAAAATTACTTAGGCATATGAAACGCAATTAGAATTCTGATTTCGACCGATCCTCTAGGATATAGTAGTCCCTTGTTTTGATGAGTTGTGTATAGGTATATTCCAGGTATATTTCTAGAAGTTAATGCAATCGAGGAGCAGCTATCCTTGAAAAACAAGTTATTGACTGATAGTTCTCATGGGAGCTAAATGATATAGTTGTCTGACTTTATATATCGCCTGCAGATCTATACAAAATTTTGATCAAGAGCAAAAATATAATAATAATATAACTATATCTACAAATATTTATAGTGAATATGATCAGCGATGCCTCTCGCAAAAGTCATATGCCAGGGGCTCAAAACCGATTTCAATATCGATAAATTGATTTGTGCACAGAAATCAGTCCAAATCTTTTCCAACGTCCCTATAAGCCCACATATAATCCTGTATTAATGCATGTGAATAGAGTGTATGAAATCGGTATAAGAGCCCATTTTAATAATCGATAATTAATCGATTACTTGCATCTTTGTTTATAGGATTCAGTCCAAATAGTTTCTTACATCTACATAAGCCCAACATTTAATCCGTCTCTAATAATGTATGCAAATATTAGCGCCAAAATTGATCCTGCACGCGAAATAAACTGAAAGAAATGTCAAAGGAAAACTCATTTTTATAATCGATAATTAATCGATTCCTTGCATATCAGATTCAAATCGTTGCCAACACCCATGCATGCCCATTAGATAATCAAGCCTGTATTCATGCGTGCAAAATAAAGTGAATAATAATGTATTTTATATGCTTGTATGTTATACATATGTCTCGAATGTTGTTTTAGCTGGCAGTTCGATAAATTAGTTGTACTGAGAAGCCAATATCACATCTCAGTGGCATCGTTATTATCGCTCAATTCGACTGCATCACTCCGACCAACACGTTTAATTTCAGACTCCATAACAACATTAGCTTCTACAGACTGCTTGTTTTCCAATGAATTCTTTTTCATCAAATAGCGACTTGTGGTTACTGACAATGCGTCCAGTGAGCTCTCCAGATGATCCACAAATCCCAAGATATCGACAAGGCGACGATTGATATTTAATAGCGCGTGTATTTTTCTCTGATTCTGTCGAATTTCTTCATCAATGTCCATGGTTTATTCGCTATACAAGTTTTAAGTCTGTTTTATAGAAAATTTTAAAGTAGCAAATTTTTTTTATTATTTTTATTTTATTTTTTTTTGTATACAATTTTGAACAGTCAAAGAGAGAATTGTTGCCCAATTAAAACTATTTCAGTACTTGTTTATCCAAAGCTCATGTTTTCGAAGTTAAATACAAGGACATGCTGTTCAGGCTTTTACTCAATGCTGAAGTTAGCTCGTCTTTAAATTAGGCGTCGATGCAAGAGGAACGTATATGTTAATCAATTGAAAGGAGAGTGTATTCGACTTGAATATGCCCTGTAATTGGCTTTGTTGCAAATATATTACTTGCGTAAATGTATAACTTCGCGTTTCTTGATTAAACGGTGGGCTCTTCTATGCGATTTTCATGTTTTTATTTTTTCAAATATATTCCAAGTTTCTTGGTAATCTCAGTTATTGCTTGTATTCTATTTCGGGATAGTAAATCAATTGCTTATTTCATAATATAATGAAGTTCTAAAAAATGTTTATTATGCTCTTCTTTTAGTTGGAATAAATGTAACACCCTCTTTTGGTATTTCTCTTAGTTATTATCTCGCACGTTTCACTTTCCCTCTGTTCCTCTTGACCACAAAACCGTTATTACCTGGTCAACTCTTCTCCTTCTCTTTTTGTTAGTCACTTTCTCTTTTCACTCCCGCTTGCCCATTCTCTTAATCCCTCTCGCTCCTCTCCACACGCTCTGCCTGCCTTCCTTACCCCGCCTTTCTATGCGATTTTCATGATTTTAATTACATGCAGGTTCGATTTTTTTCATTATTGATGATATTTGAAAAGTTTTATGAAATTAATTTAATTAACTGGTTCCGCCACTCGCACGGAGTGTGCTCTTGCGGGTTCGAGACCATGTTCGACCGCCATATATTAATAATGTGCTCCTATCTTTGCAGTGCTTGCCAGACGGCGTTGAGCAGTTGAAGGCGACGCTTCAGCAGCAGCAGCAGCAGCAGCTTCAAAAACAACAACAATTGAAAGGTATATTGAAACCGCAGGATGCCGGAAACACTGCCAGCAACCGCAACGGTGAGCGCCAGCAGCATAGACTGCACAGTTGCGGTGCTTAAGGTGCCCACGCCCACCATGCAGCTGCCGCAGCCATGCAACCTGCAGAGTCTGGGCCTCATTATGGAGCCAAACAATATCAATATTGAGCTTAATCCTGCGGCAACAACGTCCGGCTTCAAGGTGAGTGCATAATCAATAGATTAATAGCTAATCAAATATCCCAGCCAACTGAGTATCGAAAATTCATTTGAGGCATGTTTTACACTTGTCAAATGCATTTCTCCTGGTTGCGTATGGGGGGAGGGGGGGATTTGATTTGGAAGCTTTCTAAGTGGAAAGTGCGATTCTAAGAGTATTTGCCAAATTTTTAAGTCATTTTCGATTTGCCTTAAAATTATTTTCAAAGCCCTACAAAAGAATTTAATGAATACGTGTTTGGGGAATTTCGCCCGCAACAGTGGAAAATAGGCGGAAAACGGTTGTATGAAAGTTATTTGCTTGCCGTTCGAACGGTTTAAGACTCAGATGAATACTATTGCATGGCCTTTGGCCTAATATAGAAAACAATTAGTATATCGAAAGTATTTATTGAATTATGTTTTGGTTGATGGAGACCCTGTCATTTGCATCTCATTTGGTTGGAATACGTCCGCGATTCTGGACGGTTGTGCGATCATTCGGATTGCCCATGACGGCCAGATTGGGCCGATCCGCGCGCAGCACTTGTGGCCTATTGCCATGGGTCTGATCCGCGCCAGCTGGGCTCTCCGGCTCGAAGAGCCAACAGATTGTGCGGTATACGTGATCGGCCAGCACGAGCAGCGGCTCATCGATGCTCGGCCCGAATAGCGTGGGCGACATTTGGGACTCGTCCTGGCATTCGAGCGGCGCTGCCCGTCCAAATGTGAGCTTCACACAATTCCTTGCCATGCTCCGTAGTCCGTGCACTATTTTGGTCGGGCTAAGGGCCGACTTGAAGCGTTCGTAGATCTCCTTACGATGTTGATATTCCTTGTATTGGGCGATCAGTATGCGACCATCAGGTGTCTCTAGCATATCGCTCTCACTGCCGGAATCAAATAGATCACTCAGACTGGAGACCTCGAGCATATAGCCTCTTTGGGGCTCCGGCTGCTGACTTGCAACTGGATCGACCGCAAGCGTTTCGATTTCTTGTTTGGATGGGCATTTCGTTAAATTTGCGGAACCTTGATTTGGCATAATCGTGTGCATCTTGCGCGAATTCCAGCTCTTAATGCTGTTGTTGTAGTCCTCCACGTGCTCCGACTGTGCACCGGTGTCCGACATGTCCTGATTGTAGGGTCCACCCTCTATGCGCACCGAACACCGACGACCCAAATTCGCGTCATAGCAAATCTTCTGCACCGTCTTCGTAATCACCTGGCGACTGAGCATCGCCTCAGGATTGGCGGATACGAACAGCAGATAGGCGTCGCCTTCCGGCACCGCCTTGTATGAGCCTGCTGGCATCTCATTGATGCGGCGATGGAAGCGCTTCTCCAACTCATCGATTACTTCCTTGTTGAAGTATTTACTCATTGTGCTCGACTCTCAATTTTGTTAAAAGTAGACGAATTTACAAAAAAAAAAAAACAAAAACAAAACAAAAAAAAACAAAAAACAAATTAAAAAAGACAAGAAAGTTTACAAATATATGAAAGCTGTTTAGTTTATTTTGAAAAGGTTTTAAAATTTCAATCAGATTTGTATGTGAACTATGCTACAGAAATATAAAACCTTCACTGTGCACGCATTATCTGAAAAGTGACTACTTTATTATCAGTCCAAGGCCTACATAGATCCCTTGTGGAAGACAATATCTGTAGCTATGCAAGCTCGGCTCAATAGTGTAAATATTGCATTAAAAACTAGATATGCATAGATCTTAGCCTTAGACTGAGCTCATGCCGTAATTTCATAAAGAAGAAGTGAAATGAAATGAGGAAGAAATCAAGGGTAAAAATAACTTTAAAGAGAGTAAAATGTATTTGTAGACTTTAAAAAAGTCTAAAACACGTCTCTAAATACGTTTTAGAACGATTTCTAAAAAGAGCTTTTTGAGATTTAAGCAATCAAAAATGACATACAAACGTTTTCACCAATTTCCCACACTAGCAGGTGGAATTCTAAATAGCGTGAATTTCAATCACATAAGCTAACTACATTCAGATATACAGATGTAGACACACTCCGATTCATAGATCGGTCAATCAGTCAGCACAACTCATTTAATACAGCTTATTACAATCATTTCACCAATTTTCCACACTAGCAGGTGGAATTCTAAATAGCGTGAATTCCAATCACATAAGCTAACTACATTCAGATATACAGATGCAGACATATTCCGATTCCAAGGTCGGTCAATCAGTCAATCAGTCAGCACAACTCATTTAATACAGCTTATTACAAACGTTTTCACCAATTTCCCACACTTGCAGGTGGAATTCTA